GTTGCAGAAACACGACAAACTCGCTCGCAATCATTGCAAAACACGTTAAACCTTTCGAAATTCGCTCAGAGTGCTCAGTCATCGCTAGGGACGTGAGACAACTTGAGATGGGTGGTCTGACAGCTGAACAAGCTGGCAAAATTGCCTGGACTGTTCTCTGTCCCACAAACAAGTGTGGGTTGCGTGTTTTCCGCTTGTCTTGTGGGGGGGCACTTTAGCTGCGAAAATTTAGTATTAGACGTGGACGCGAGGTCAGAGCTGGGTCCCGTGGCTTTGTTAGCCTTGTCATGACTCTGAACAACAGCTCAACACGTTGCTGTCCGCTCACAACCTCCCCGTTCTCTCGGAATCATCACTAACCCCTTTGCAAGTCGAAACTCGACGTTTCAATGATTTCACTCAAACTCGAGTGCTTCCCTTGCTGCAACAAGCTTGCAATGACTCTGAACACTGTCCTAGGTTGGTACACCATGGTGCAACACTGAAATCGCCATCCTACTATCAGGTTGTTGCAGAAACACGACAAACTCGCTCGCAATCATTGCAAAACACGTTAAACCTTTCGAAATTCGCTCAGAGTGCTCAGTCATCGCTAGGGACGTGAGACAACTTGAGATGGGTGGTCTGACAGCTGAACAAGCTGCAAAATTGCCTGGACTGTTCTCTGTCCCACAAACAAGTGTGGGTTGCGTGTTTTCCGCTTGTCTTGTGGGGGGGCACTTTAGCTGCGAAAATTTAGTATTAGACGTGGACGCGAGGTCAGAGCTGGGTCCCGTGGCTTTGTTAGCCTTGTCATGACTCTGAACAACAGCTCAACACGTTGCTGTCCGCTCACAACCTCCCCGTTCTCTCGGAATCATCACTAACCCCTTTGCAAGTCGAAACTCGACGTTTCAATGATTTCACTCAAACTCGAGTGCTTCCCTTGCTGCAACAAGCTTGCATATGACTCTGAACACTGTCCTAGGTTGGTACACCATGGTGCAACACTGAAATCGCCATCCTACTATCAGGTTGTTGCAGAAACACGACAAACTCGCTCGCAATCATTGCAAAACACGTTAAACCTTTCGAAATTCGCTCAGAGTGCTCAGTCATCGCTAGGGACGTGAGACAACTTGAGATGGGTGGTCTGACAGCTGAACAAGCTGGCAAAATTGCCTGGACTGTTCTCTGTCCCACAAACAAGTGTGGGTTGCGTGTTTTCCGCTTGTCTTGTGGGGGGGCACTTTAGCTGCGAAAATTTAGTATTAGACGTGGACGCGAGGTCAGAGCTGGGTCCCGTGGCTTTGTTAGCCTGTCATGACTCTGAACAACAGCTCAACACGTTGCTGTCCGCTCACAACCTCCCCGTTCTCTCGGAATCATCACTAACCCCTTTGCAAGTCGAAACTCGACGTTTCAATGATTTCACTCAAACTCGAGTGCTTCCCTTGCTGCAACAAGCTTGCATATGACTCTGAACACTGTCCTAGGTTGGTACACCATGGTGCAACACTGAAATCGCCATCCTACTATCAGGTTGTTGCAGAAACACGACAAACTCGCTCGCAATCATTGCAAAACACGTTAACCTTTCGAAATTCGCTCAGAGTGCTCAGTCATCGCTAGGGACGTGAGACAACTTGAGATGGGTGGTCTTGACAGCTGAACAAGCTGGCAAAATTGCCTGGACTGTTCTCTGTCCCACAAACAAGTGTGGGTTGCGTGTTTTCCGCTTGTCTTGTGGGGGGGCACTTTAGCTGCGAAAATTTAGTATTAGACGTGGACGCGAGGTCAGAGCTGGGTCCCGTGGCTTTGTTAGCCTTGTCATGACTCTGAACAACAGCTCAACACGTTGCTGTCCGCTCACAACCTCCCCGTTCTCTCGGAATCATCACTAACCCCTTTGCAAGTCGAAACTCGACGTTTCAATGATTTCACTCAAACTCGAGTGCTTCCCTTGCTGCAACAAGCTTGCAATATGACTCTGAACACTGTCCTAGGTTGGTACACCATGGTGCAACACTGAAATCGCCATCCTACTATCAGGTTGTTGCAGAAACACGACAAACTCGCTCGCAATCATTGCAAAACACGTTAAACCTTTCGAAATTCGCTCAGAGTGCTCAGTCATCGCTAGGGACGTGAGACAACTTGAGATGGGTGGTCTGACAGCTGAACAAGCTGGCAAAATTGCCTGGACTGTTCTCTGTCCCACAAACAAGTGTGGGTTGCGTGTTTTCCGCTTGTCTTGTGGGGGGGCACTTTAGCTGCGAAAATTAGTATTAGACGTGGACGCGAGGTCAGAGCTGGGTCCCGTGGCTTTGTTAGCCTTGTCATGACTCTGAACAACAGCTCAACACGTTGCTGTCCGCTCACAACCTCCCCGTTCTCTCGGAATCATCACTAACCCCTTTGCAAGTCGAAACTCGACGTTTCAATGATTTCACTCAAACTCGAGTGCTTCCCTTGCTGCAACAAGCTTGCAAATGACTCTGAACACTGTCCTAGGTTGGTACACCATGGTGCAACACTGAAATCGCCATCCTACTATCAGGTTGTTGCAGAAACACGACAAACTCGCTCGCAATCATTGCAAAACACGTTAAACCTTTCGAAATTCGCTCAGAGTGCTCAGTCATCGCTAGGGACGTGAGACAACTTGAGATGGGTGGTCTGACAGCTGAACAAGCTGGCAAAATTGCCTGGACTGTTCTCTGTCCCACAAACAAGTGTGGGTTGCGTGTTTTCCGCTTGTCTTGTGGGGGGGCACTTTAGCTGCGAAAATTTAGTATTAGACGTGGACGCGAGGTCAGAGCTGGGTCCCGTGGCTTTGTTAGCCTTGTCATGACTCTGAACAACAGCTCAACACGTTGCTGTCCGCTCACAACCTCCCCGTTCTCTCGGAATCATCACTAACCCCTTTGCAAGTCGAAACTCGACGTTTCAATGATTTCACTCAAACTCGAGTGCTTCCCTTGCTGCAACAAGCTTGCAAATGACTCTGAACACTGTCCTAGGTTGGTACACCATGGTGCAACACTGAAATCGCCATCCTACTATCAGGTTGTTGCAGAAACACGACAAACTCGCTCGCAATCATTGCAAAACACGTTAAACCTTTCGAAATTCGCTCAGAGTGCTCAGTCATCGCTAGGGACGTGAGACAACTTGAGATGGGTGGTCTGACAGCTGAACAAGCTGGCAAAATTGCCTGGACTGTTCTCTGTCCCACAAACAAGTGTGGGTTGCGTGTTTTCCGCTTGTCTTGTGGGGGGGCACTTTAGCTGCGAAAATTTAGTATTAGACGTGGACGCGAGGTCAGAGCTGGGTCCCGTGGCTTTGTTAGCCTTGTCATGACTCTGAACAACAGCTCAACACGTTGCTGTCCGCTCACAACCTCCCCGTTCTCTCGGAATCATCACTAACCCCTTTGCAAGTCGAAACTCGACGTTTCAATGATTTCACTCAAACTCGAGTGCTTCCCTTGCTGCAACAAGCTTGCATATGACTCTGAACACTGTCCTAGGTTGGTACACCATGGTGCAACACTGAAATCGCCATCCTACTATCAGGTTGTTGCAGAAACACGACAAACTCGCTCGCAATCATTGCAAAACACGTTAAACCTTTCGAAATTCGCTCAGAGTGCTCAGTCATCGCTAGGGACGTGAGACAACTTGAGATGGGTGGTCTGACAGCTGAACAAGCTGGCAAAATTGCCTGGACTGTTCTCTGTCCCACAAACAAGTGTGGGTTGCGTGTTTTCCGCTTGTCTTGTGGGGGGGCACTTTAGCTGCGAAAATTTAGTATTAGACGTGGACGCGAGGTCAGAGCTGGGTCCCGTGGCTTTGTTAGCCTTGTCATGACTCTGAACAACAGCTCAACACGTTGCTGTCCGCTCACAACCTCCCCGTTCTCTCGGAATCATCACTAACCCCTTTGCAAGTCGAAACTCGACGTTTCAATGATTTCACTCAAACTCGAGTGCTTCCCTTGCTGCAACAAGCTTGCAAATGACTCTGAACACTGTCCTAGGTTGGTACACCATGGTGCAACACTGAAATCGCCATCCTACTATCAGGTAGTGAGTTTGGCAGAGTGTGCGCGACATCGTCGCATGGTCTCGTGAAGATCGGCATCGTCTTCGCTATACATGGCTGGAAAATGACATCGCCCGGATCTATCGTTTTCAGCCAGAACCAATTCCGACAAAGTCATCGGCCTCCTCCTTCTCGAGCTGTTTGGCGAGAACCAACGCCAACGCCGTCCCGAATCTCCATGCCTTGAACGATTCCAAGAACCCGACGCCAAACTCGAGTACGGCTTTGGCGTTGGCCGCGCAAGCGTCCTAGTGCACGTGCATACCTAGTCGGATCATGCGTTCGAGCGATGCCGGACTTGGTATCGAACCTTTCTTGCGAGCAGCCCATAGCGCTAGCACGGCGATGAAAGCGCTTCCTGGCAGGTAAAACAGGTCGACCGAGCCCGGCGCTGCAAGCACGTCCAATAGATCGAGAGCATGCTTCGTCGCCACCTCGGCCTGTCCGGTCCCTGCCCAAGCTTCCAGATCCGGCAGAGAACGGCGCGCCGTCTCCCATCCCATCTCTAACAGAGGAGCAGTTCCAGTCAGCGACCGAGGGACCCCATCACCTCTACGGCGCCTGGCCGTTGCGAGACTCACTTCCTGCCGCGGTGAACAAGACGCGGATATTGACCGCGAGAGCGATATGACCCACGTGATAGAGCACTTGACCAGCCCGAACCATCGGATCGGCTTCATCGCCGTTGTGATAATGTGTACGCCAAGACTCGAGCGATTGTCGCAGCCACTGTCGAGCCGTCAGATTGACAACGTCAGCTGTCGCTCGTTTGTCTGCTCAAATAGCCCTAGAACCCACCTTGCGTCTGCCCTCGAAGCCGCCATGGGAGCCCTCGACCTCTGATAACACGGGCACGTGAACCCCGATCGAATGGTAGACGTCCGATTGCGCGCCGTACTCTGGTGAAGAGAGGGGGGGATGAGGCCGGGGGAATAAAGAAGCGACGTCGTGTCAGCGGAAGTCGACGGTACTGGAACAGAGATACCATCTCAAGCGACTCACCAAAGATATGATGCTGCAGCGCGCTTATCAAGACGAGCCCTCCGAACGGACTGAGCGATCGAATGGGTGCGGGACGAAGTTCGCGCGGTATCCGTATAGGTGTAAGGATGGCAGAGATGCTGCGACAAAAGCGTCTCAATCTTGGGCAACACTGCCCCAGCGTGGCTATGTCCTTCGCAAAATCACTCACGCAGAGGCGAATAAAGGCGACGGCGGGATGCCCGCGATCCCCAGCGAGTCGGTCCACATCCTAGCCGAGGTGGCCTGCCAGTAGACCTCGTCACACGGAAGCACCACGCCCGTCATCTGTCCCTGCGAGATGTACGCTGGAGTGTCGTGCATGGCCGGGAACATCGAGTCGAGCAGACATATGCAGGTCCCTAAGCGTTTACGACTTTCTGCGCGAGCCCACCTGAGCCAGCGTCCCGACGGATCGGTGCCACCGTTGTCCGTGAGCGCGAGCTGCCTCAACGAGGACGACGAGTTCAGCAGGTCGGCTCGTCGACAGAGCTGAAAGTAGCAGAGACACAGGATCAGCGGTCGGTCTCGGGAAAGGGGGCCTGATAGACTGATCCTCGATCGCGCACTCACGGTAACCAAGACACCTCGGGCCGCCTCTGCCATCTCGTAGCTCCGCTTGGTCCCACTCAACAATCCTGAAATGCAAGACAGCATCGAGACGTGGACCAGGTCGACGCTGCGCAGCTACATCCACGAAAGATCCGGGCTTTGAGCGACGTCCGTCCTGTTTGCCTGCTGCGCCATGACTCACGTTCGCACTGTCCAGTTCAAACAACACGTTGATGCATCTGCGAACGACTTCGACCAGCTCGGTCGAGAACGTCTTGGATCCAGGAAGCCGAGAGAACGTGGCTCCGAGCGAGATCATCGAGGCGACGAGCAGCGGATCGGCCTCGTCGATACGAAAAGTCGGGAGATGGATGATCGGCATCTGCGCCTCAAACTTGTCAAAGTACACTGTCGAGCATGGGACCCGTGAGCACGTCGCTCGAAACCAGGCCACCCCGGAAACATGCGACGCTCACGAGACACAAAGTGATTGATCAGGTCGAGCGATTTCGGGCATCCTGAATCCCGATAGATCCGCTCCGGTGCCTTCGTAGCTACGGCTACACGACCGGCCGACCTTGGCGAGATTCAGCTCAAGACAAACCACGAGGGTCGTCAAGGGGGGGACCAGGCGTGGACGAACTCACTCAAGCTCTGCTGTATCCGCGCCAGTAGCGTCTCCGAGATCCAGAACCGGCCCCATCTACCGTGAATACCCTCAAAGTCTGCTGGCAGGATGGACGGGATCGTTGCCCCGGCTCCGAACGGGATCCTCCCACGAGCATCCCAATTCGTAGCTGTCCCGTCGTTTATGGTTGTTTTCAGTTTTTTTCGGTGCACTCCCGATCAGCTTTCGCCCGATCCTCCGAATATCTCCGGAGCAGCACATACGACTCACGCCACTTGTCCTCGTCGCTACTCTCGATCGGTGGGGTCGCCGCTCGACTTTCCACCTGGACCGTATCCGACCCGACCTGCGGTTCTTCGATCGGACAGATCGACCAGGAATCGTTCAAGAACCACATCATCCCGTTGTCTGCCAGATCACAAGCCAGGGAGGTATAGCCGAAGGTAATGGGCCCCTTGCCCTGGTAAGCGTCGTCAAGGATCAGCCCCATTCTGTGTACCGACCTACCCCATGGCAACAAGTCGTCCGGCAAGAGCGGTCCTAGGCCTTCATCGTCCTCTTCCTCATCGGGGCCGTCTCGAGGCTCGAGTTCCGGTACCAATCGATCGACGCCCAGAGCCAAAGTCGGGTGCGATACAAACGTCCCGTCGAGGTCGATCGAGGGTCGAGAGGGATCTTCGAGAGCGAGACGCTGTGGAGCGGATGAACGACAAGCGGGAGGTGCCTTTTTTCAGTCGCTTTCACTCTGAGCATGTAAATCTGTGGAGATCGGCTTCGAGGCGAATCCCCATGCGGCTCACTGACCTTTCCCATAGGCTCATCTAACGTCGACGAAGCAGCCCTCTTGTTGGCCCCCTCTAACCGGCCGGTCTCCTCCTGATCCCCGTGAAGCTGTCCGTGCCGCCTGAGCAGATCTGATCGGGTGAAAGCCTTGCCGCAACCGGGAGCCAAGCATCTGAACGGTCTGACCGTATCGTCTGATTGTATACAATACAACGTCGACTCCTCAGACTCAGCTCGCGTGCCCATGTTTCGACCTTTTCAGCACCTTGGCTAAGAGCGAGGACGACGTACGATTCCGAGCGTGCCTCGCGAGGTTTTCCGGTCGACTGAAGACCTTGCCGCAGTGACAGCGACAAGGCTGTGGTTGTGGTTGTTGTTGTGGTGGGAGTTGGTTCTCGAGCATCGAGGTATCGATCAGGCTGGCCGTAGATTCGAGCCTAGGGATTGTCCAACTCGCAATTCCGAGTCTAGCATGTTAGCCATCGAAAGGTCGGCCGGTGATGTCACTACTGAGTTTGTCTCGCTGAGCATTGTGGTAGACTGACAGCAGTGGTCAGGGGGGGCCAAAGCAAGGTGAACAAGCTGAATCGGGAGGAACATCGTTCAGAAAGTGGGTCAAAGTGGACGCTCGCGGGCGAGGCGTGGGCGGCGACTTACGGCATCTCTTCTTCCACTTTGTCCACTCTCAGGGTCATGTGGTGGTGGCAAAACGTGGACAAGGCGGTCCGAGGGCGCGGTCGAGCGATCGCTATAACAGGTATGCGCGCTGCAGGATGGTCCAGCAGGGTAAGATCCCGAGTCCACACCTCTGCTTGATAACTTTCTCGCTGAAAACGTCGATCGTCCGACGTCAATCAAGATGTTCGTCCGACCCGTACTTTTCCCGCTTCCGATCAGACATCGGGACGAACATGGCGTCGTCGCGATTCCTCTGCGTCGACCGCAACGAGCGCAGGCCCTGTCGGCCAATCTCATCGGACTGTCGATAGAGATGGATCGATGGGACACTTGGGCGGGACCCGAGGTAGGCAAGCCTAACGTCTACGTCAAGCAGATGCTGCGCAACCTCGGCGACAAGGTCGGCTCGCCGCCCTGTATCCGAGTCGGGGGTGAGTGGGCTCGGAGTCGCTGCTAGAGGATCACCGTGCCTACAGTATACCTAACCCCTAACTCTCGTCCTCTCGCAGCCAACAGTCAAGATCACGGTATCATCAATCCAGACGTCCCCGTCATCGACGCCGACTTTGGTCCGATCAGCGACCTCGTCCCATTCCCCGAAGCCAAGACGGTCTATATCGGGCGAGACTTTTACGCCTTGTCAGGGAACTTCGCCGAGGGGACCAAATTGCAAGTCGTCTACCGTAGCCTCTTCCTAACGACAAAAAAAAACTTGCCAAGTATGGCTGTGGGAAGTGGGAGTGTACATGCTGATCGCCATACTGTGTCCCTTGCGCCGCGATTAGTATCTGGGGTATCAACCTTAAATCCAACGACATCGAAGAGACGGCGAGACAAGCGTCTCTTCTCGTGAGTCTTCCGAATCGAGGGGTCTCGTTTCTCAACCGAGCACGGAGTCGTTCATCTCGTCACTCTACAGGCCGAGACGTTCGAGCCGGCTCGAAATCGACTCCTATCGAAAGTGGAGCTGGAGTACGTCCAGATCGGGAACGAGGTGAGCGACATTCCGATTCCGATCATGGACACCCAACTCGTGCTGATCCATACAATTCACCGCGGGTTAACGGGTACAATAGCCCGACTTTTTCTACCCGAACCCGAGGGCCTTTATCGAACAGTGGCACCTAGCGGCAACCCGTATCAAAGACATCCTCCGTTTCGGACAACCAGGCGCTCCTAAACTCCAAGCTCCTTCTCTGGCGGGGATCAAGCCGTGCGAATGGTCCCTGGATGCCATCTTCGATCAAGGATTGTTGGAGGATGACGGATCGCTGATCAGCGATATCAGCGTGCACCATTACTTTGCAAGTCCCCGAGTCTGGCATTTCGGTCCTTTATGCTTGGCCCGAGAGAGATCACGGCTGACGAGTCGTTGCCATCGATATCTCACCTCAGGGAGCTCGGACGGGCAGACCTACCTCCCAACCGAACAAGGGCGACCTCATGAACAAGCTGACCATCCGGTTGCTCATGTCGCGCTTCCATCGAGACATCGCTCGAGCTGCTGAAGAAGGACTGACCATCATGCTGGGGGAGACCAACACGTACGGTCTACACGGAGTGCCCGGTGTCAGTAACACCGCAGAAGCCGCCATCTGGATGGTGGACTACGCCCTGCACTGCGCTTCGATCGGGTTGAGACGATTGCATTTTCATCACGGCGTCGGTTTCGAGTGAGTATAGCGCGCCCCGTGCTGGTTGAACGAGCGCCTTCTCCTCTCGGCTGTCCGCTGACTCGATCGGAGTTCCTGCCTGTCGTCTCGCTTCTGCGAACAACAGTTACAACCTCATCCAACCGATATCTGGGATCAATGACGGGACGGGAAAAGCAGACAGACCGCACGTCCTGCCATCATACTATGGCGCCATCGTCGTCAACGAGGCGATCGGCTCGACTGGACCGACGAGCATCTCCGAGGTGTATTGCAACCGTCCGACCCTCTCTGCCTATGCCATCTGGGACGATCAAGACGAGATGATCCGGTTGGTTGTGATCAACTCGGCGGTGTACCTCAAAGACTCTGAAGGCCCACGACCTCACGAGCCGATCCACCTGGCCGGGATAGGCGAGCGGCGACCTATCGTCAAGCGTCTCTCGACCCCCTTTACGGACGCGAGCACCGGCATGTGAGTCATCATGTCGTCATCGGGAATGGGTAGACCAGCATCTTGCGTGACATTCGAGAGACGCTCATTGTACCTCTCCTCCTAGCACCTGGGCCGGCGGACACTATGAAGATCCGTCTGGCGAGTTTACCATCGATATAGACTCGCGCGATCGAAAGCAAGAAATGTTGACAGATGACTGGCTCTCCCTGCCTGCGTCCGAGGTCGCCATTTTGTACTTTTGAGCATCGCATGCACGAGATATCAATGTCAACTTCTACAAATCTTGTCACCTCGGTGGGTCTGGGTCCTCTGTCGACTCGGGTCTACCATCACATCCAAACCGCCGCGCTTCATGACTCTCAGTAAGAATTAGCTCGGGGGACCGCCGACGCACTCGAAGACAGGTCTGGAATCGCCGCGGTTGCAGTACTTTTTGAAAGGCTTTCACCGCAGCAAGATGGAAGTGAACAACTTGGACACTATCTTACAGATTCGAGACCACGAGAAGTCACTCACAACACTTCTTCTCTCACTTGCTGCTCCAATCTCAACAATCTCGAACCCGCGCGTCGTCTTTCCGCCAAAAAACATTGAATAGCGTTCAAGCTTGCATTTTCGATTACTGATAGTATACAATGTACCGCCCCATACACCATTCTTCGAAACGGACTCTGGAGTCTCATCACATCTCAAGTACCATATTCCTGTTCCGAAAGCGCCAGATCAACGCGCCACTTCGCTTTGTCAATGATCGACCTAGTAGTCGAGATTGGTCATCTGTTCAGACGACTGGCGCGTGTCCGGGTCCTTGTTCGCTTTGCGATCGCTTCAACGTGACAACATCGATATCGGCAAACTTTCGAGGCGGAATCCCGGCGTGATAGAGTGCATCGATATCGATTGCGGATCGTCCAGCTGTCTCCGGTACCATGAAGAAGGCCCAGACGATGGCCAGCGCGGTCGTCCCGGCGAAACTGTTCAAGCGCACGCGTTCAGATCGTCTCGCCACAAGGGCTGGTGTCGTCGCCGCCGACTCACATGAGAGCAGTCTTGGCCCCGAGATAACCCGGTTCTTGGTAGATATAAGGCACCGCGAACGTAAGACCAAAGTTCAAGATCTTGTTCGTGAACAAGGACAGCGATTGAGTCTTGGCGCGAGCGCGAACGGATGAGATCTCCGCCGTCAGGGCATAAGCCGTTCCACCCGTCGCTGTTCAAGAGCGAGTGATAGCAGCGTCAGTGATCGTGGAGCGTCACTTTGGCAGAGGTCTTTAAGCAGCTCACCGAACAACTGCGTGGAGATGGCCAGGTTGATCAGCACGGCGACGGCCCATCCCGCGGCGGCGTTCGACTTTATGGCGAATCCGAGGCATCCGAGCGCGAGCATCAGGGCGAAATGCAATATACTGTTTTAACCGTCCCCAAGCCAAATTGATGTGAGTGGGATCCCAGGATGATCATACCATCGAGAGCGTGAGAGAGGACGGCCACGTACTGAAAATAGACAAAGAGCACCCGTCTCCCGACTCTTTCCATCACGTAACCGCCCAAGAGGAAGACGATGGCGCTGACGGACAGGCAACCGAGACTAATGTTGGTGGCCGTCGTAATCTTGAGACCCTGTTGTTGCAAAAAGTACAAGCCCTGTCCGGTGAACGTGTTGCTAAAAGAGAACCAGAAACACGATCAGCTTCGTGTGCTCGTCTACGACGCTGTGCCCGCCTGGACTGACCCTCCCGCCTGATAACAGAACCAGAGGCCGATCGACGTCAGAGTACGCTTCCGCTCGACCCCGTCCGCAAAGAGCTCCCTGAGGGTCATGGCTTCGAGTCGTGGCCGCATCTGCATCTCGGTCGCCACGGCGTACTGGATCACCGCGAGTTTCTGCTTGACAGCCACGTCGTCTTGAAGACCGTGAAGCCTGACCAGCGCCTTGGCCGCCTCTGCCGGTCGTCCCCTCTTGACCAGATACACGGGCGACGTGGTCGAGAACGGCAGCATGACGAGCGTGAGTGCCGGAGCGACCCACTGCATGGCCAAAGTAAACTTCCAAGACTTCCAGTCTACCGCCAGTAGTAGCAACAACAACGACCGATCAGTATCACCCCCGCCGAGTCGCAAGCGTTCATCTGGCGCGCATGACCTACCGCTCTTTGCATAGTGAATGACCTGTGATCCAGTGGTGATACCCAAGATGATACCGACGACGTTGGCCATGCCGATGGTGGCAGCGAGCGGACCACGAAGACGAGCAGGCGACGACTCTGCGATAAAGTTGGACGCGGCCACTTGGATGACGCCGAGGGGTATACCCGTCAACAGCTGGGTGTGTGTGGAGAGGCGCAGCGTACAGTATCAATGAGCCGGCGCCTGAGGGATTTCCTTGTGAACGAGGCCGAGGACCTACCTTTCCTGCCAGCAGCGTCTCTTTGGTCACCGAGGCCACCTGCACCGCCACTCCTGCCATCAAAAACACCGTCGCCGCCATGGTGACCTTTCGAGGGCCGAACCGGTCGAGGGTCCAGGTACACGAGATGGTACCGATGAACAGCCCGAGCGAGAACATGGCGGTCCACAACGAGATCCAGGTCGAGGCGATCGACAGACGTTTGGTCACGGGGTCGACTGTGCCGATGCGGGAAAGGCCGAGTTCGTTCCAGTTCAGTATAAGCGACATTCGTGATACCCGTCAAAGTTATCACAGAAGAAGAATTCGCTCTCTCTTACATCCACCGAACTTGATCAAAAAAGCCG